TTTATGTTTCGGGTCGCTCGTCGCTCGCGCTCGCTGCCGCGCTCGCCGCCCGCGCCGCGCTCCCCGCCACGCCTAAGTTTTTTCCCACCATGGTGTATCTCGCGCGTCGCTCCACCTCCCGCTCATCGATCGATTTTTTTAAATGCCTTCCGAGTCCGGCCTACCGTCTCCTGCATCCTCATTCGCTCAAACGTGTAAATTTACTACTCAATAACTAATGTTACTTTGTACCGCAGTACATGATATTTCTCCTTAGTTTAACCCAATTTACCACTATTTTCAAAGTTGCTACTTTTGCATCAGACACCCTGTATAGTCCTTTCAAAACCGTACAACTTTCGTTTGAAACATTTTTCGAAATAATCCATTCCAACCGAGATATATTATTGTCTCAAGATAAACGCCCCACCTTGTATAGGATAGGCCATTTTAATGTATCTATTGAAATATTTCAAAATCTATAAGTTTAAGACCAAAATGTTTCAGACAAAAGTTGTGGTATCGAGGAGGACATAAGATGGTGTCATTAATTTGACTGACCTTGAATAGTTGCTTGAAGGTCACGTAAAGGTCACCTTCAATTTTATAAATGAGACCCTCTATTGTTTATTATACTATCTTATTCTACTAATTAATATGACTAGCTCTCGTCTGAAACATTGCTTTACTTACCTAATACTTTTTGAGATATTCAAGAGAAAATTTTTAACTTTTTCAATGTTTAGCTTATAATATCTCGATAACTGTTTGTCGGAGGAAAAAATAGTACAGGACTTTTTACTTGATTCTCAGGAATATACTGTTACAATAGTGTTCCAATAATTGAAAATTTTTGTGTATTGTAACATATACAAAATTTACATACACCTTTGTCTGAAACTTTTTGTCTTAAACTTGAAGATTTTAAGATATTTCAGTGGATACATTAAAATAACCTACCCTGTATAGACATATATACATATATGTATATATATATTATTTTATAGATTGTAGATGTATTGGGAGATAAAATGACAGAATGCAGATATATAAAACCCATTGAAACATTTGATCATGGCTTTAGGCCTGAGAAATGGTTTGGAGTGGATGTGATGAAAAAAGGTAGAAAAGCTTTGGAAGAAGTTAATCTGAAATTGGGTGAGTAGTAATATTTAAAAACATCTTTCAATCAAACGTAGAAATATAAATAGTTCAAATATATTTTTTAACTTGAAATTTTAGTGTGATAAATGTGGAAATATATGATATACAAGGTGTTCCCTACCATTTTGCACTGAAGGAATAGTTATTGAGCTATTGACGTTCAAAAACCACCGTAGTAGCTCGATCTACTGGAAAATGTAAGCATGCAGTGAGATGTATCCGTCCGCCTATTGGCCGCCGCTCGCAACAGTACACGGCAAGGAGTAGGGAGACTTATGAAAAAAGTTGACCGCTGTGCCAGCGGTCGCTTACGCAGTGGACGAACAGCGGCGCGCCTCTCTACTTCTCGCTGCGCACCGCCTCGAGCGGCGGCCGAGGGGCGGGCAGATCTCACCGCGCGATTACATTTACCAGCAGGTTGGGATAATACGGCGATTTTTGAACTTTAATATCTCGATAACTATTCTTCCAAGTACAAAATGGTAGAGGACTTTTCTGTTTGTCTTCTCTCTTTCCATGAATGGCGGTCAAAAAGTTGCGGAGCACCTTGTATATATCATGTAAAAATATTTTCTTGTTAGTAGATTAATGCAAATTTTTATTGCATTTAATAGGTGGATGTATTTTAATTGTTTTGATATTTTGTAATGCTACTATTTTTTATTTTATGATTTTATTTTACAGGTTTAGCATTTGATGATTGGGATTTAGACTTTTATACAGATTTATTTCTCCAAAAATTAAAACGGAATCCAACTAGTGTAGAATGTTTTGATCTTGCTCAATCTAATAGTGAACATAGTCGTCACTGGTTCTTTAAAGGACGTATTATTTTGGATGGCAAAGAAGAAAAACAATCCCTAATTGACATGATTATGGATACGCAGAATTATTCTAACCCAAACAATATAATTAAATTCAGTGATAATAGCAGCGCAATAGAAGGATTTAAAATTCCTGTATTACGTCCTACTAAATCTCAAGAGTGCAGTAACTTTCACTTGGAAGACATCAAACAGCATCTTATTTTTACAGCAGAAACGCATAACTTTCCAACCGGTGTAGCACCTTTCAGGTATGTTTAAATTAAATACAATAAAAGTAAAAAATTAAGTAAAGTAAAAATACTTTTTTTTCACTTTTATTTATATTTTCATAAAGGAAGCTTTGTTTCCATGAAAAAAAATTGTTTTGAGTTTTTATTGCCAGTTTATTGCCAATTTATTTATAATGTTTCAAAACATCGAAAAAAATACAATTTTAAGAAAATATCTATGGTGATGTTAGCAAACTTGTCCACTTTCTAATTGATTGAGGTATATGCTTCTACTTGTGCATATGCTTAGTTTGTTGATATACAATGGCTGTTATCGAATTGAATGAGAATTGTTGAAAGGGTTCAGTTTCAACATAAATCAACATATTCTATACATAATAATATCTTTGTTGACTTTTCTTGGGGTTGCAAGGTACTTTTCGTAGGAGTGTTCCCGAAATCTTTACACTTTTAACTTATCCTATTTTGCTTGCGCGAAGGAGTTGTGTGCCCCTTGGTTTATGCTGGTACACACTTTCTTTATCCTCCTCTCGCACACACATACACACGCTTGGACTTCAGTTTCCTTGGCCTGTGCTTCTTTGTTTCCACAATTTCCCTCTAAACTGCCCAATCCGTCCTCCCTCTCTCTCTCTCTCTCTCCCCCCTCCTTCCCCCTCTTCTCTCATTCTCTCTCCTTCCTTCGCCCTCTCCCTTATCCGTTCCTCTTTCTGTCTCCAGCTCTCAGTTACTCTTTCCCCTCTTCCTCTTCAAGAGTTTTTCCTACCTCCTCCTGCTAGCTCCTTCTGTTACCGTTCTCCTACCTCCTACATTCCTTTCACACATGCTCCCATCTTTCTTCTCTTAGTCCACATAGCCTGTATTTCCTCTCCTCCTCTTTCCTCTAATACTGGCCCCATCTCATTTTGTTGCCTAATCTACTTCCTGCTATTCTTCTCAACCTACTTTCTCCCCCATCCTTTTTTAAGATAATTCGGAATACCTCTTCCTTTTACAAATTTGTACCACTTATTGTATTTTGGCTACCTTATCTTTTTCTATCTCTCCTTTTTTCCTAGATATTTCCCTGCTTTTATCAGTTCTTCCACTAATGTCTCTCCTTTTTCTCTTCTCTTCTTTACTTCCTTTATCTCCCACCCTCTCTTCTTGAAGAATTCTATCCTCCCTCTCTCCCACTTCGATAACCCTTTCCCCTTTTCTGCTCTTTTAATTATCCCCTCTAAGCACCTCCTTGCAATCTCACTTGCTTTCCCTTATTCTAACCTTCTTTCCCATCCCCATGCTCTTAAACTTACCTTTTCTCTTAACTTTTTCCTCTGCACCTCCTCTCTGATCATATATCCTGGCGTCCTTCTATCCACTCTCAACGTACATCTCAGATATTTCTCCTGACATCTCTTCACTGTATCTCTCTCCTCCCAACCCCATACCTCCACACCATATCCTATCACCAACCACACTAGGCTGTTGTATAGCCATATTTTTTGTCACATTCTCCTCCAAATCTTTTTTCCTATCTCCCATACTTATTCCATAGCCACCATTCCTAACTTGACCCTCTCCTTCACATGGTTTTCCTGTCCTCCATTTTTCTGTATTACGTATCCTAAGTATTTATATTCCATTGTCTCCTCTATCTTGTTTCCCTTCCATCTCCAGTTTATTTTCTTGTCTCTTCCACCCCTGTTCTAAATCTCACTATCTTCGTTTTTCCTACGTTCACTTTTTCTATCTACGTATCTAGCCATCATTGCTCTCTTTCCTGCCTCTTCTGCTAACACCGCTACATCATCTGTACAGGGTGGGCCATTTTAATCTATGCACCCAAATTTCTTTGTACCTAAGACAGATACGAGGTCTGTTCTTTATTGCTGCACTCCTGAACTAGTGCACACTGGTGCAATGAGTTGGAATGAGAGGTAATCTATTTGTTTAATTTTAACTTATTGCACTAGTTCAGTAGTGCAGTAATAAAGAACAGGCCTACGGAAAAATGGTTCAAACAAAAGTTGTTCAAGATAATGGGGGTCACCTATCTGTGTAACTAGCTTTGACCTTGAGACTACTTTTCAAGGTTATTTGAAGGTCAGAGTGGTTTTTTTTAAATGGAAACTCCTATTTTTTATTACATATTCTTATAGGTTACCTCGAGCGTTTTCCAAAATGCTATAATAAAGTATTTCTTTTATTAAGAACTTTTTGAGTTATTAAGGTTTGAAAGTTCCAATATTTTGTCATAAATTACAAAATATCTTGTAAAATATAAATTTTTTATCATCTTACCTTAATACTTTTTTTGAACAGAATAATGAGACAAATCAACCGGTGTAAAGAAAACACAATTTTGTAACAAGTAATAAAAAAATTTTTTTAAACAATTGTGTGTTGCTGAAAAAAAGCACAGATTTTATCCCTATGTATAATATGCATTATGTACAAAAGTTGATAATGATTATAGCAGATGTTCGAATTGCCTCCCTTCTACCGCTTGACAGTGTGCTAGCCTTAATTGAAAAAAAGCTCTGATATTGCTCAACATATCAACGGTTACACAGGCACACGAAAAAAAAGGTCTTGTCCACCAGACGAGATAAACATTTCTATACGTTTTTGGGGTCGCTGAATCCGAATCCGGGGTTGGTTTGACTCGGTCAGGTCGCATTTCGTTCCTAACCTCAAAAAAAATGATGAAAGTTGGAACATTCATGAAAACACCCAGAAAGCAAAGCGATTATATGTTTTCAGGGTCGCTGAGTCCAAATTTGAAGGTCATTTGACTCAGCGAGGTCGCATTCCATTCAAAACCTTGAAAAAAATTAATTTTAACATCGAAAACTGTTCCTGACACGTGAGAGAAAATTTTCTTTTATTTTTCTCTGTGATATCTTGTTCTTTTATTCTCAAAGGACCTATGCAGGGTTTCTGTGACGTTTTACCCCTTTTTGAACAACTTCTCTTTGCAATGTCCAACAGTAATCTGCTAACATATTTACATCCCACCTTCCCTGATACCTACGTTCCATCTCCTTTATGTCTTGATGGAATCTTTCTCCCTGCTCCTCACTGTAATCCCCCAAATTCATTGGAAAGTAATCTATGTGAGAATCCAAGAAGTGCAACTTTAGGTTCATCAAACAACCAAGCTTTCGAAAGTTTTTCACCAGATCCCCTAGCGAAAAAATTTCTATAAATAACTACAAAAAATTGACTTGAAATAGAAATTTGTAGAAATTTTTATATCTTCGTTGAAACATTTATTTTTTTGTAAAAATATCTACAAAATAGTACCACAAATTACAATGTTCTCAAATCAAGAAATTATTGTAATATTTCATGAAAATGTACAATTTTGTAAAAATTAGTACAAAATTTTACTGGTTTTAAAAATTTGTGAAACAACAAAATCTTAAAGAATTAAAACATCTGCTTACTTGTAGAATATTACAGAAATTAACAAAAGTGTTCAAATTCTAGCATTTTCATATTGATTTTCATAACACTTTTTAAATTTACGTAGAATTTTATAGATTCTGGCAGTTATATTTAATTTTCTTGTAGAATTTTGTAGAATTATTTCCGGCAGGGTCAGCTACTATTTTCTTAAAGTTTTCACTTTTATGGTTACCGAGAAAGTTTTCCACATTTTTGAAACTCGTCCACGCAGCTTTTTCTATTTTGTTCATAACTTTGATGAAATTCTGATCGTTCAACATTTTGCGGATTTGTGGGCCACCAAAAACACCCTCATGCACTTTTGCGTCTGAAATATTCGGAAATTTTTGCTGTAAATATTCGAAACATTTGCCTTCTTTGTTAAGAGCCTTAACAAATTGCTTCATGAGACCCAATTTAATATGGAGAGAAGGTAGAAGTACTCTGTCTGGATCGACTAACGGGGTTTGCTTAATATTTTGCAAACCTGGTTTGAATGAAATTCTCGTTGGCCATTCTTTGCGAGTATAGTGATTCTTTCTATCCCTACTATCCCACAAACACAAAAAACATGGATTTTTTGTAAAACCTGATTGTTGCTCTAATACCAAATCTAAAATTTTCAAGTCCCCGCAAATTTTCCAATTAAATTCTGAATACTTGATCTTTTTCAAAACAAATTCGAGATTTTGGTGAGTCTCCTTGAGCACAGTTGAATGAGCTATCGGAGGAGCGAACTTATTCGTGTTGTGAAGTAATACTCCCTTGAGACTTCTTTTAGAAGAATCAATAAAAAGTCTCCACTCCTCATCCTTGTAAACACCTGGTTTCAGTTCATCCATTAACCCTTGCACATCGTTACAATACACCAGCGATGGGTCGTCTACTTTCGTGAAGTATTTTTAAAATTTTTCTTCTCTGTTTCGGAAATAATCAACTTTAACATCTTTTGCTAGGTAGTTCTTTTTTTCATAAACGACGTAAGAAGTTCTACACCATCTTTTGGTAGCCCTAGATCTCTTACCAAGTCATTCAGTTCCTCCTGCAACGTAACTTGGAAAACTTTATCCTTGCCTCTACCTGGGATGTAATCGTCGTCATTTTCGTGATGCTCCGATTCATCACTATATTCATCGGAATCATTTTCTTCTTCGGATTCAATGTTTTTCCTCGATTCGTCTACTTCATCGGAATCATTTCTTACTTTTAGATAATTTTTATTTTCAAAATTATCAGAATTTCTCTCATTGCAGCACGATCTTTCTGGTTTTTCTACTGTTTTGACATTGGTATAAACAAAGCTTTGCTTATTTTTTCTGTTGAAACCTGTGACGTCATTCATACAAAAGTAACAATCCTTTTGATGCAATGGCTCTTTCCACAACGTAGGTTTGTTATATTTCATGTCCTTAGAATGTCTGCTTGAATTCCAACGATGTAACATCTTAGAACAAGCTGCACATATTTTGTGTGGCATCCATTTTTTGTACGTTATTTTAAGACCAAAACA